CATGAAAAGATGCTCAACATCATTAGTCATCAGGAAAATGCAAATCAAAACTACAGTGAGATACCACTTCACATCCAGTGGGATGGCTACAATAAAAAAGGTGGAAAATAACAGGTGATAGTGAGGATGTGCAGAAATTGGAACCCTCATACATTGCTGGTGGGAGTGTAAAATGGTACAGCCTCTTTGAAAAAGTGTTTGGTAGTTTCTCAAATGGTTGACCATAAAGGTACCGTATAACCCAGCAATTCTACTCCTAGGTATATACCCAAGAAAAATGAAAACATGTGTTCACACAAATATTTGTATGCAAATGTTCATAGCAGCATTATTCATAATAGCCCCAAAGTGGAAACAACCTAAATGTCCATCAACTGATGAATGGATAAACAAATATTGTATAGCCATACAATGGAATACTATTCAGCCATAAAAAGAAATGCAGTATTGACACATGCTACAATATGGATGAACCTCCAAAACATTATGCTACATGAAAGAAGACAGTCACAAAAGACCACATGTTGGATGATTTCATTTATATGATATGTCCAGAATAGGAAAATTCATAGAGACAAAGTATGGGTCACCAGGGCCTGGGAGGAGGAGCTAATGGGAAGTTATCACTTAATGGTTTGAGAGCTTTTGTTTGGGGTGATGAAAAAGTTTTGGAAATAGATAGTGGTGATGGTTGCACAACAGCGTGAATGTAATTAATGCCCCTGAATTGTACACTTAAAAAATGGTTAAAATGGCAAATTTTGTTATATATATTTTACAATAAAAAGTTCAAAAAATGTTTTCTTTAAAAGAAAAAACCAAACTAAACAATACCAAAAAATGATTGCTAGGAAGCCACTATTAGATGGCTTGTGTCTTAGTAAAACGTGAAGGAGTTTTCAGCCACAGAGAGAGACCAGAGAGTGCCTGATCCAGAACAGGCTGGAGCTGAAGAGAAATGGTAATTTGTAACATCTCACATAAACTAATGCAGTGTTTACCACCTATTCTCATGATAAGAATTACTTGGGGACTTGTTAAATATATAGATTAGTGATTCTCAAAGTGTGATCTAAAGAAAGACTCTTGGGGATCCATGACGTCCTTTCTTTTCTAATTACAGATTGGGAGAGGCCAGATTTTCTCCCCATACTTGAGCCAAAAGAATATATAGCAACAGATTGAATGCAGAAGCAGATATAAGAATCCAGCTGTCTTCTATTAAGGAAGACATTGAAGAGGTTTTGAAAAATGTAAAATAATACCACTCACTAAATTTTTGAGAATATAGTTATTTTTCATAAAAATGTGATTTATGTCAATGTTAATGGGTTTATTGTTATTTTAAATTATTAGATAATAAAAATTTCTGAATTTTAATTTCTAATATGGTAAATTCCAATAGCTAGAACCCATATAAACAAAAGCTCTTTGAGGTCCTCAATAATTTTTGTGTGTAAGTGTTCCTCAGATCAAAAAGTTTGAGAACCATTGATATAGATAACCAAGCCTCTCAGTTGGAAATTCTGATTTAGGAAGTCCCAGTAGAGCCCAGAAGTCTGTATTTTTATATAATTAAACCAAGTGCTTACCAGAGAAATTTGGTTAACACTGAGCCAATATAAAGGTGTTTAGATGTTAGGGATTTTTATGATGAACTATGTTGAATGCCAGACAGGATCAAAACTAAATGAATAAAAGGACTGTCAAGGAAAAAAGGGCTGGTCCATTTGAGGTAGACGAGACTGTATTGGTAGTGGAGCCATTTGACGACCCAATTTACATAGCTTTACCTAGCAATGTTGGCAATCCAAGAGCAGAAGCAGAGAAGTGGGCACTTTAAACTAGAGTTGGATGGGGCTTTGCATGGGGGGCTCTCTAAGTTACCCTGGGCTAGATATATACATGACATTCAGATTGCACATTGAGGAGGCTATGCCCTGGGTTTTTATTGGAAGAGAGTTCTGAGACCTATTGGGTGAGCATATAATAGTCTAAGGGAGAAGCCTGAGGAAACCTATAGGATATAGTGTTAGATGAGGTTAGGATGGTGTGATAGGTTTTGGAAACTTGGAGCATTTACAACACAGGGGAATCAGAAACTGACAGGGCAAGCGTGCATCTGCCACCAGGGGTTTACTAGGAGTCTAGTGTGTGGCACGTTAAAGGGAGCTGGGAGGGCCGGCCCCGTGGCTTAGCGGTTAAGTGCGCGCGCTCCGCTGCTGGCAGCCTGGGTTCAGATCCCGGGCGCGCACCGATGCACCGCTTCTCTGGCCATGCTGAGGCCGCGTCCCACGTACAGCAACTAGAAGGATGTGCAGCTATGACATACAACTATCTACTGGGGCTTTGGGGGGAAAAAATAAATAAATAAAAAAAAAAGAACAGGGCTGATCCCATACGCTGTCTGGGAATTGGAAAGAGATGCAGAGGGGAAACAGCCCATGCTGGGATGGAGGGGTGGAGAGTCTCTATTGAGGGTCAAGGAGACAGTTGGGTATCTCTACAATTGCCACCAGAGCCATGGTGTAGAGACCTATTAGAAATGTCTTCTGTTTTCTGTGGACAACAGAGGAATCTCTAAGAATGACAAACTAAATAATGTTCTGATCCTCCTGCTGAGCAAGGGAGGTAGATGACTGACGGTGAACATGTCTTTCCAAAAGGGAGGATCTCTCCTCTCTGGTCGCCTTCTCCCTAACCTCCCACATTCCTCCTCAACAGATTCCTGTTTGTTAAGTGCTAGGGAAAGGCAATGTAGCTCCAACTACTCCAGAGAAAAGGAAAGCAGTCCCCCAGGGCCAGCCTCTTCAGGAGAGGTCTAGTGGTACTAGGTCATCCATCTTCCATTTCCATTTCCAGAAGTTATCTTTCTCCTCTTTTTGAAAATGAGAACATCTGCCCATTGACATTTTCTGGCCATGTGCCCCATTCATTGTTATTCTTAAAGTTCGATACCAAGAATGCCTCCCCTATGAACTCCTCCTGCACCCTGGGACCCTACACCATTCTTGTAGTCTTTTTCCCTCTACTTCCACCCAGAGGAAAAAATTAAGGTCTGACCCTAGGATTTGGAGTCTTTCTCTTTTTCATTACAGTGGCGTTTTCCTTGTAAATCCTGCCCTATAATATGGTGCTTGTGGTCTTGCCAGGCCCATGCCAAGTGCCTCACTAGAATAACACTGGCCCTACTCACAGGGAAGTGCCGGCTTCCTGTTGGCTAAGACAGATCTCATTTATCTCGAAGCCTTCAGAAGCTGTGGCTGTATATCAAAAATTCTAGGTAGCTAACCATAGATAATATAGATAAAATTCTCATTTTAAAATAAAGGTGTGATGCTCATTAAAAATGACAAAAAATGTCACATGGCTGATGTTTATCCTTTTCCCAGAGACATTTAGAGGTAGTGTCTCTTCCCTGTAGCCCAACATGGAGATTGCCATCAGCCTCTTTGCCTATCCAAATCCTGTTGGTTCTTCACGGTGGGCATTGCCTCTTTCAGGAAACTTTCCCTGCTCACCCTAGCCCTGTGAGATCTCCGTCTTGATGGTTCCATTGGTGAGCATTCTAGTCTATGATTACAAACACTATGCAACTTAACACTTTTTATCATAGTCTTATTTGCTATCTCGTATATGTATTCTCATATGTGTGGTTTCTCTGTTGGGTACTTGGATTTGGATGAGCTTTTATAGACGTTTTGGTTTTGATTTTTAAGTGAGCTGCTTCCTAAGCTATTTTTTTCACTCACACAATCAGCTGGAAAAATAGTGGATGCCTACATGATGTGATGAGGAGCACCAGGAGGAACTATTCTAAACCCAAAGCCTTCTCCCACCAGTCCTTCATGGTGCTTGAGTACCCAATGAAACTTTTATTCCTGTGGCCCTTTTTTTCCTGACAGCACTCACTTTGAAAATGCAAATAACCCTATGCTCCTACTTCAGTAAATATCAGTAAAGAGGCCAGGGATTTTAAACCAACATATCTCAGGGGCTGCTCTGGAGAAGAGGGAGCTCCAGCAATGCCATCCCATTTCAACTAGAGCCACTCTCCTTTTGTTTTATGGGCTAAAGTTATCCTAAAACTTTATTTATAAGACATTTAGCTGCAAAAACAATTCTTTTTGAAAACCATTCCTTTAGGGCCCTAGGGTTCAAATTTTATTGTGCATAGGAATCCTCTAGGTGGCTTGTTAACACGCAGATTACTGCCCACCCCCACCCCAAGTTTCTGATTTGGCCGGTCTAGGGTAGGACCTGATAATTTACAATTCTAACAAGTTCCCAGATGCTGCTGCTGGTCAACAGACCATATACTCTGAGAACTACTGCTTTAGGGAAATGTGTTAAGAGCTTTCCAGAACGCTCTAGAAGAAGCACTGGCAGGTGATGGGGTCAGGGGTTGGAGAGGGAGAACACCTCTGGAAGGGAAGTCGACTGGTTCAAAAAATCAGTTTCCCTATTGATTGCTGTCTATTTTGAATTGCTTCATCTTCATATCTAAAGCAAGAAGCCACCAATTAGGGTTTCTGACCTTTGGGCCCTAACCAAATCCCAACGGAGGGTTTCTCTATAACTAGTCCTGAGCACAAAGGGGAACTTCCATAAGAGCTGTTGGTCCAGGCCTTCCTGAAGCTTTTATTCACCATTAAGTTTAAAGTCATAGAACCAGAAAGGACTTCAGGTGGGGCCCCTAGATAATACTAATATTGTGGATGATGGGTCATCTAGCCTAGGCAGTGTGATGCCGACATCAGGAGATGCTAATGAGTTGGAGAGAAAGAAGCTAACCAACCTTCTAATCCTACTAAATGTACAAATCAATAGAATTAGACAGTGGTTACAATATAAAGACAATTTTATTGCCAATGAAAGCCTTTAATAACTCATATATCCTGTTTCAGTAGGACCTTATTCTTTCTGATGAAAATCCAGTCATAGCATCTCTCATTAAAAATAAAATTATTTTGAAATAAATAAATATATAAAATAAATAGCATATACACTTCATAAATAGTTTGTCCTTATGCACAGTATCCATGCTTACATTTTAATATCATTTTCTTACAAGCTACCCCAACTCCCACTTCCAGTGGCAGGAAAACTGCATGTCAGGACAGATGAGAAATCTGCAGAGCCAACGCAGAGATGGCTTGCAGCAGGGCTCTAGCCCCAAGCATTTTTTTAATGAGACTTTTTATTTAAAGCTCTGTAGGTAGCATCTATGGCAGATTCCTTGGTCTTTCATTTACCCATTGTCAAGGTATTTGGGTAGATTTTGGGGGCAAGACATCCCTGACCCTTGGCAGGGGCCCCCATTCTTTCTTGTGCCACCTCAGGGGAAAGAACATGAGTAAAGAAAAAAGTATATACAAGATTCCCTCTAGCCCACCCCCTCCCCACAAATCCCTCCCCAAAATAACCCAACCTTGATATACACTTTGAACAACAAGGGAACAGCTGGGTAGAGTCGAACAGTAAGTGCTTCTCTGTTATCTAAATTGATAGGAAAGAGGATTGAAAAGCTATGAGTATAGTGCTTGCAGAGACAACCGTGGCCCCAGAGTACACGGGTCACAGTGGTCACACTAGGGGTCCGTTACCTATAGCGGAAGAGGTCTCTGGACATGGAGGGCAACTTAGAAGGATCAACTGGCCTGGGTAAAAAGTGAGTGAATTTCTGATGTCGTTTAGTCCTGTATCCCTCCCGGGGTGAGCCGTCTTTATTCAGGGCCACATAATACTGTCTCTCCGAATCCGAATGTTTGTACAAGGTGGAGGCATAGGTGTTGTACCAATTTTCTTCAAACTGTTCCCGGAAAACACATTCACGTGTGAGTTTCTTCTGTGAGGGTGAGAAAATAAAGCAGAGCCCATTATATGACTATTTCTCCCATCCCAGCTTGCTGGTGGAGAAACCCTAAAACAGCAATAGCACATTGATATTAGAAAATTTCAGTCCTATCTCCCGGTATTACTGAGGTATGTTCTTTCCAAATAGCACAAAACAGCCCTGTCTGTATTGCCTTAATCCTCTTTCATGAGTAACACAAAAATGTTTTAGGTGAGATCTTTCCTGAAGGCAGGAGACCGGAGGAGATGGCCTCACCTGGCTCGTTGAGCCTGAGAATTTCGGCTATAGCCTCCCAATGCCCCGCTGGTACCCCTGAGTTTTCTCCCTATCAGGGCTAATGATGTTCAAATTCGTTGAGATTACAGTCAACCATGTCAACTGACAGGCAAAGGCCTCAGATCTATATAAAGCTCCACGGGAGGTGAGCTGTGATCTCTCCTAATGAAGGGTCTCAGGCCTGTCAGTTGGAAAGCTCAGAAAAGATCTCCTTGAAAAGTTCCTCCAATCTGGCTACTTCAAGCTGGCAGCTCCTGGGTCTCTTGCCTCTGTCCCTTCTCACACTTGATCCAGCCGCCATACTACTTGCTGGGGTTGCCGATACCAAGTGCTGGGGACAGGCCTATCTCTTAGGTGTCAGGGAAAAATGTGCTCTGATTTCATGGGGTGCAGGCAGCCAGAAAACATGCTGTGACTCAAAAGCCAAAGCTAGGAGTTGGGATCCCCTGAAAGGGTTAAGGTTGGCAAAGTCACTCACCATTCCCCAGCTATGGGCTAGCTTCCAGAATAGAGAACATGCACTGCAGCCAACCCAGTCCTAGCTGGGGACTTAGGGCTGTCATCAGACCCTGGAACCCTCACTTTTCATTTGTTTGTTTCATTTGGCCTTTGGGATTCAGCTGAAGCAATCTGGAAATCAGGGACTGTGCTGTTAATCTCAGAATCCACAATCGGTAGGCCAGCTCTACCACTGCCTATTTTTGTGCCAGGTAGTCTGCTACTCCTCTGGGAACCCATTAAAATTCAGATATGCTCCTCAGGAGGGTTAATGCCCCAAAGCCTTACTATCATCTTCTGACAAACCGGCACAGCTTACTGTTATCATCAGACTAGCTGCCCCTCTAACAGAAAAGGTGAAAACCAATGTACCACAGAAAAACTTATGTTTTGATGGAGGCTGAATGAGTGAAAGTGTTATGTAGCAATTTCCTAAGCAGCCAAGAAGTGACTAGAAGACACTAATCCTTTACAGTTGACAAAAGTGCTTTCAAGTTCTAGATAAATGTTTTTGTACTGTTGCCTTACATTGTCCAAACACTGGTGGTAATAGCCTCTGATGAAAAGAAAACCTTAAACTTACCGACCCATAGAGTTCTCCTCGCTCGTTCATTCCTAAGTACAGGCCAGAGTCCACTCCCCGGATGCTGATCAGCCCTACAGCCAGGCTGATAAACTCCAGGATTCCTAGAGCAAAAAAGCGAATGCCATTTCCATTACTGACATCAAGCTAAGAGGAAACTGATCAGGTACCATGAGCTACCAGTTATTTATCCCCAACTGGAGGCCAGCCCTGTGTGCCTTTGGTGAATTAACTGATGAAACCATCTTTTGCAGCAAGAATGGAACCTCCGAGAAGGCACTGAGTCTCTCTGGGCCTCAGTTTTTCCATATATAAAATGGGGGAAACAATCTCTGCCTCTACTCAACACTCTTAGGCAGATTATGAGGAACAGACCGTGAGAAGAAGGCTTTGGCTACAAGAGCTCCATAATTACAAGGTATTATTGCTGTTAAATACCACCATTTCAAGAAATGGGAGGGCAGCTTTCTAAATGGAAGAATGTGGCTAGGTTTCTGTATCTTCCCAAAGTCACTTCCCTCCTTCCTAGAGCACACAGCGTTACCTTGCTGTCCTCCGGGCTGAACTTGTTTTGCACCCTCTTAGCTCCCATGTCCTTAAAGCCACATGAGGCTGTCAACTGCCTGTAGCTGACTCCAACAAAGGCCACACAGGCCACTCACTAAGTTTGTCCCTCCTGCCTATGGCAGAAGGCAAAACTTGGCCTGGTGAGGGCTTTCTTTAGGAGTGCTCTCAGCCAGTGCAGCCCCAGGCTGACAGCCTATCATTCTCCCCTCCTCTCTGGGGAATTTTAAGTTTATCCATGGCAAAGAGTTGGCAGGTAGTATTGGACTTGATACTGATTTGAGATGTTGCAACTTTAAGGGGAAAAGGAAGACATTCAGAAATGTCCCTCTAGCTGACAACGGTAGAGGTAAGGATTTGAAAACATTTTCATTTACCCAACAGCAGTAGGAGGAAAAAAGAAGTCAACTATGAAGAGGGAAAAAGGATCCAAAACTGAAATTATGGTGATACTGAAGACTTTATAATTGTGTCCTAAGATAGCACATCTATTATATGGATACAGACGTAATGGTCAACTAGATTCCTCTTTGATATCCCTGTCTCTAACCATGATTTACAACGTACAGACCAAAACTTGATATGACTGACTTACAGAGGCATCCAAAGGTATGAATTGAGCTCAGATCTGGCTGTCTTTCTTATCCAAAAATGCAATTCTTAAGGGTAATAATATTCTATGTAATCTACATAGGGAGTGAGACTGATTCCTTAAAGATCACTCAAAAAATTTAAGTGGTTAATTTTGAAATCAGGTTCAAAATTCCAGTGGGAAGACTTCTGAAGAGCCCCAGGGACTCGGGCTGGTGGGTGGGCATTCAGGTATGGCAGCTTCAGGGCATGTTTCCAAGGCCCACTCGGATCTTTCAAAGAATATCAAGTTCCTATGCTGCTATTGTATAGAACACTCAGAGTATGGCCTTCAGCCTCCAGTATTGAAATCCTCCAAGTTTTATTCTTGGTTTGGTTGTTACTAACTCTGATAGTACATACAAAGGAGTTTTGGGAAAAGAGATTGACACAAGATGGTAGGAAGGGAAGGGAAAATACCTGGTGCCAAGTAGAGGTTAAACGGATACTGATTTAATGGACCAAAACCTTTAGTTGCACTGCACAACGTTCTGATTGTGGTTCTGCCCTGTTGAACATTTTAGTAAATAACTTGTAAGAAGCCGGGGGGACTGCTTACCCTAGTTCCAGAAGACATACAGCTGAGAGCATGACACAATCAAAATCCAAAGAGATTTCAAGAGAATGGAAAAATGGGCTGACTCCGACAAAATAAGCTTTAATTAGAATAAATGTAAAGTCCTGCACTTTGGTCCCCAAACCAATTACCCAAGATGTTTTGTGTTGGGAGTTTTGTTGGGGGAGGATGAGCCTCAAGTGCAGACAGTCGAGTTAATCATACTCCTTGTTTCATGGTCTATTATAATTGGTCTGTGTGAGCACTTTTTATTCACCTATTTCTTTTTATTTCCATACTCTGCTCCCATCCTCCTCCTCACTTCAGGCAACCATGTATATTTTCTTGAAAACATGTACTGTTCTTTTGTGTTTCTGTGCACTTTTATTAAATGCAAGTCTGCCCATCTTTGGAATGAGAAGGTATGGCTTAGCAAAACATACACAACAATGGCTTAAAGGAATTTGACCAAACAAGGTAAGCTCAGTATGAGTGGTTCACGAGATTATTAAAAAGCTAATGTAGGCTGGCCCAGTGGCTTAGTGGTTAAGTGCGCGCACTCCGCTACTGGCGGCCCGGGTTCGGATCCCGGGCGCCCACAGACGCATCGCTTTTCCGGCCATGCTGAGGCCGTGTGGCACATACAGCAACTAGAAGGATGTGCAACTATGACATACAACTATCTACTGGGGCTTTGGGGAAAAAAAAGGAGGAGGATTGGCAATAATGTTAGCTCAGAGCCGGTCTTCCTCAGCAAAATGAGGAGGGTTAGCACAGATGTTAGCTCAGGGCTGATCTCCCCCAAAAAAAAAAAAAAAAAAAAAGCTAATGTAAAACTAATCATGTAAAAATTAAAAATTATTGAAGAAAAAATATAAAAAGAGGGAAAAACAGCTAATGTGATCTAAGGCTGCATTGATAGAGGTCTAGTAATTGGTATAAGGGAGGGGATTGCCCCACTGTGCTCTGTCTTAGACCACACTGAGAGTACTGTTTTTAGTTCTACTGTGTTTAAAGAGGGCTACGGAAAAACAGGAGTGTGTTCAAAGGAGAGTGGCCAGTATGGCAAGGAAACAAGAAACCAGGTCATGATTCAGTTCTGGGTGCTAAACTTTGAGGGATACAAAACCACTGCAGCCTTCAGTTCTTTGCTTTGCTTAGACAGATTACTTCTGAGCTTCAAGTCTTAGTGCTCTCATTCTTGAAGTATCTCATGTGTCTGACCACCCTGAGCTCATTAGGTAGCAGAGGGCAGCTTGTGATCTCACCATCCAAGACCCGGTGTGGGAACAAATCACGAAACCCAAGAGGTGTGGCCATTTGAGTCACTACAATTTTTCTCCAGCTCTCTGTTAACCCTGATGCCAAAGGACAGATCATACAGGAAGTCACTTGGGTTGTGTCCAGTAACAGGGGTCTCCAACAACTGGAATCATCCCTGCCCAGCTGTCTTAGGGCATCATTTCCCTTTGCCAACTTTCCTATTAGCTGGATTCAAACTGTGGGAACCCAGTGGCACATGATGATGGAACAGATATTCCTAAACTTTCTCCTGAATCCCAGCCAGCATGAAGGGAGAGAGAAAACAAGCCATTTTCACATTTTCCCAGCTACAGCTGGAGAGGGGTGTTAACAGCAAAGTTTTGAGGCAAAGTATTAAGGAGACCAAGTTTGTCCTCAGTCCTCTCACCCCCTTCAAGGCCCAGGACCTCCCTCTTCTCTGCTTCATCTTAACCAGTCCACCTCAGGCTCTGGCCTTTGCTCGACAATTTCCAGGCTCTTCTCTTCTTATACCTTTTTCCCCATGGCCTCAGTCAAAATGGATCTGTCTTGGGCCCCACTGCTTCAGAACCTAGCTAGATGACTGGCTAATGTGTCATTTAATCTCATTCCATAGCTCTGAGCTCCCTCAGCCACCCTTTCAGACCTTCAGGGCCAAGACAGTGCTGCTTTGGCATCTTGCCAAATAAGAACCAGATTGCTCAGAAACCAAAGCAGCTGCATGAGCCTGCTCCATCCCACCTGGCAGGAGGCCTCTCCTCTAGTCTGGCTCCCAAGCTCTGCTCTGCCAGTCCACAGGTGCCCCTCAGGAATGTCAGTATCCCTATGAACCTCACGTAAACGCCACCAGCCAGGCAGACTGAAATACTCCTGGCTACTGATTGCAGAATGGGGAGGGGGAGCATAGGATATGCCAACAGGTTATTATTTGGAGTCGACGCAGCTCTTGGGCTCAGCCTGACTCGTTCTGAACACATGGATTCCAGGGTAATCCTTGGGGGCCCTGCTCTCCAATTACAACAAATAGCTATTTACTTTACATGGCCTTTGGAGACTACCTCCTCCCCCCAAGCAGAAATCTATAATATTTTATATCTTAAGTCTGGCCTACTTTACCCTGCTGGAATGTTGACTGCTAAAGCACTTATGGAATGTTAAAGTTTCGATTTATTGAATACCCTGGCTGATTAACTCAAATGTGGAGGGAGGAGAGCGTTAGAAAACTCAAACACCACCTCTTTCTTTGCCAAAAGCTAAACTGAGAAAGAGTAAATGTGTGTTTGAAAGTTGGCAACGGAGGTTACAAAGAGACAGCTTTGACCAGTTATCATTTCCTTTACAGGAAATACACGGAACTGCCAGGAAGCCAGGGAAGGAGGAAAGGGAAAAGGTGATGCAGAGGTGGTCTCAGGCGCTGTGTTTTTTTTAAAGGCAAAACCAAAAATGAAGCAGTCAGTTAAGCAGCGGTGAAAACATCCTTTCCTCCTGCCAGTTTTATTTCCTTTGGTTTCTCCTTAAACTTAACACCCTTAGCAGGCCTGAGAGATGAAAAGAAATCAAGATGTGTCCTTAGGGAGGTAATTAAAAACCACTTATCCCAAGAGCCTATTACTGATTTATGTTGACCTTGTAGGTTATTGGGCTCAGCTTAGGCACAGAGTCAGACAAACACTTGTAGCTGCTGGGAGCCAAGCTCGTAGTTTCTCCACCTCTGCTGCCCCCACCCCACAATTCTCCATCATTTCATGATTTTTCTTTTACATATCAGGAATGAGCTACCCCAATATCTTTAGGCTATTTCTGGGAGACTTGGGGGGGCTCTGAGGCCAGAGTGGGAGTCCCATTCCTTCTGAGGAGGAAAAAAAAGGGACTGCAAAATCATAAGCAATAGAAGGGAAAGGAGCCAAGTTAACACTCCCTCTCCCCCCCACCTCATCACCCTTTTGAGGACCTGCTGCAAGTTTATACAGACACCTGCACCCCTCCATTACCCCCACCCCATGCACAACTTACTGTACTCCAGCTCTGTGAATGCATTTTTCTAAGATGACATAGACCTCATTAGGGTTCCTGCTTGCTCCCAGCAAGGAAGACCAGCCCTGGCCCTACTTTGTTTGCTAGACTTGGCCTTGCCAAGGAACCGGCCTCTGCGCACCCCTCCTCCCCACTTTTTACTGTGTACTCCAGATGCAGCTCTTGCAAGGCATGAGGAATAGGAGGATGGGGAGGTTTGGGAGGAGTGGGGGAGGGTGGGAAAAAGAAAGGAATTGAATCATATCATGCCTGAGGGTAGGCAAAGCCTCTTACTGGCTTCCTGATAGAAGGTGTCCTTGGGCCACAGGGTCCTTGGGCCGAAGTAGAGGGCATTGGGAGATAAGGGGCCCAAGGAAGGGTAGCTGTCACAGCACCTGAAGAATGGTTTAGTAGAGAATAGGAAATTGAAAATAGAAATGGCCAAATTACTGAGAAACTTAATGATCTCTGTCCCAGATCAAGGTTTATATTAGTTGTGTTCTGTATGTGAGACAGGCAGCTGTGCCCTTTGAACAATTCGCAGAGTGGCGGGCAGAGAAAATCCTGGCTGGAGGTTGGACGTTTCCTGTCCTGGGCCCGGGAGACACCTGTTTCTGGGGCTGGGAGTGGGCCCACGACCGTTTCCTCACGGAGGCAAGGAGTTCCGAGGTAGCTCCGGGCAAAAGCTGCCCCAGGGCTTGCGCCCTTACACGGTGGACACCGGGAGGCTTTCCTAGTTTCTGCAATACCCAGCTCATGCCGTGCTGACTGGATGGGCTCCCACCCTGGGCAGAGCAACCCGGAGGCAAGCAGGTGCCACAGCTGCCGCGTCCTTCCGGGCAAAAAGCGACTCCGGCGCGGGCCGCCCGCCCACCACGTCCACGGCCCATGAAGGCTCCCGCTTCAGGCCAACGGCCGCGACAACCCTGGTGCCCTCGAGGCTCGGCCTTTTCGGCGAGTGCTCCTACCCCTCTCCCAGTTTCAGCCGAAGCTCAGCGTCCAGGTGCCAGAACGATCCCCTGGGTCCCGGGGGAGTGAGGGCGGGTAGAGGGGGAAAGCAGAGGCCGCACCTCAAGGCGCCCCCGCCCCCTCCCGAGAGCGCCTGAGGGTACAGGCACCCTGACGCCGCGCGGCTCGAGTCCGCACCGGCGTGTTCCGCCGGCCTCGACGGGCCGGGACGGCACCGAGCTGGGGGCGCGGGCCCCATGCCGGAGCCCCGAGCCGTCGGCTCCCCAGCGCGCCGTCCGCTAGCCTCCCGTCCCTCCCGGCCGCGTCCTCACCGAAGCGGCTGTGGTCGTGGCGGGTGCCATGCACCGTGCCGTTGGGGAAGATCTCTAGGTGGAAGCCGGTGCGGCAGTACAGCTGGCGGCGCCGCAGGATCCCCTTCAGGTGGGCGAAGTCTGTGGGCGAGCCGCGCTGCAGCTTCCCCTCGATCTGGCCCAGGCGCTCGTTCAGGAAACCCGGGGAGTCAGCTAAGGGCACATTCCCCAAAGAGGAGGAGAAGCCGTGCAGATCCCAGTCCAAGGAGGCGAAGACCCCCCCCACCTCCGCCATGGCGGGGCGCGCAGGGCCGAGCCGGGGCCGCGGGGCGCGAACTGCCTCTCCCCGCAGCGGGCGCGGGCGATTCGGCGGCGCTCGCTCGCTCGCTCCGCGCTCTGCTGAGCTGCAGTCGACGTCTGTTCGCGTCCAAGGAACTTCTCAGCGGCGGGGAGCGTGGGGCAGCTCGCTCCTGACCTTACTCTCAATCAAAGTGCCGCTTGCCCTCCGCATCCATCTCCCTAGGCCTCTCATAGCTGGCTTCGTCGCGCTATCAGATGCAAACGGCACTTTATATACATACCCACTCCCCTTACATTGACATATTGGATATTTAAATACAAGCCACACCTCACTGGCATCCCCTCGGAGATTGGTGTGTGGGTTCTTTTTTTTCTCCCCCTTCTCGTATCCATTTGGCTCTTTTTGGGAGAGGGGGGTGGAAGGGGGAGAGAGTCAGCGAGCTTCACTCTCTCTTTTATTATGAAAAAAATGGCAGGAAAAAGCTACACATTGCAGTGAGGCATAACTGCTTTTGGCAGGTTTTTCTGAAACTGCTAATGAAATAACGGAGCCCAGTGCGTGGAGGCTGTTGACGCCCACGGCCACTCAGGCCTGATGCGTGGAGGTCTGTCTGCTGAGCGGGGGCAGTCCCCACCTCCCACGCCTCCTCGGGCTGCTGGCCTTCCGAAAGTGGCGGGAGACTGGGGCTAGGGGTTTCACGCGTTCTTGAGCCCCTCTTGTTCCCCAGCTGGTGGGAGGCTGCAGGAGGGGCGCCTGGCCTGGGACAGGGGCTCTCTGGTTTCTTTGTTCTGTTGACCCCCAGTCCCACTCCCCACCTGTAGGTCGGCAGGGGCTGAGTAAGTGAAAAATCCAGAAACGAATGCAGTTGCAAAATTTGGGATTGGGGATGGTGGCGGTCCCTGCAGGCACCAAGGCGGGGGCCTTAAGGGGTCTGAGAGGAGCGGGAAACCCCACAGAGGAAAGAAGACTTTTTAAAGGGACGTTACGGCTTAGGGAGAGGAGGAGGGAGTAAGAAATAGAAAGCGATCTTTTTGAAAAATGATCTCCACTGGCTTTCTGGGCGCACTTTTACAAGGCTCTCGAGAGCAAGCTCGATGAGAGGCCTGTGGAAGCATGGTGGGGGCTTTCCCCCACCTCTTTTCTTTTTCGAAACAGGTGTTTCCTCGCTCTATCCTGTGCCCTGCTTGGAGATACTCTGTCAGGAAGAGCGGCAGTTAGGGCGGGAACTGGCGGCAGTCAGGGCAACCGGCAGCCCCGAGAAGACCTGGGGAGCAGGTGCCGGCCTGCCCCGTGCCCCTGCCCGGCACCTGAACCTTGGGGCCCCTTTCAGGCCCTGGCGCTCAGCGTCCTGCTCTCCTGTTAAACTGCGTTGTTGCTTGCAGTTTGCACACGTTTCGGGCTCTGGCCGCCTTTCCGGCTCCCGCAGGAGAAGCTCAACACAGCGAGCACTCCCCGCCCCGCCTTTGCAGCGCCTCCTGCTGGAGAACCCGTGTCTCGCGGCGAGTTTGAACTCAGGTTTTCCACAAGAAGAGAAAACCTATTCAGCTCAATTCAGTTAGTGCAGTTAGAAGTCCTGCTCCTGAGCTCCCACTTGCATCCTGTGCTCATTTTCCGGAACCGTAGCGATTCTTGGTTTGGAACATCGTGGCTTGGTTCTGTTGTACCTCCCTAGCTCAGAACCTTCAGAACCAAGCACAAGGTCTGGCACATAGTAGGTGCTCAGAAATCATCTTCTGATGTGCTCGCAGTAGTAGGGAACACAGATGCAAAGGATCTTCCGATTGTAGGGGACACAGAAAAGCAAAAGATGGCTTCCATATTGGAGTATTTACAGACGAAATGACGGGCTGTCTGGGATTTGCTTTAAAATAACCCAGAATGAGAAGGCAGAAGGAGTGGAGGTATAGATGCAATAATATTCTTCGTGTGTTACTAATTGTTGAAGCTGGGTGATGGGTACATGGGTGTTCATTATAGATTCCCTCTCTATATAAACACACACACGTGAAATTTCCCATAATCAAAAGCTTTTTAAAATGATACTGACATAAAAGAACAAGGAAATCCTTCTTTCCTTCTTCATTCTTCCCTTGAAAGAGTTTGTGGATTTAGTGAGAAGGCCAGGGAGGAGGGGCAGAGGTTAAGATGAGTATAGAAATGTGCAGTATAAGGGGCACGGTGCTGTGTGGATTCAGAAAGCAGAGAGGAGACTGATCTGGGGTTTTAGGGCTGGGTTCTGGACCAAGGTGGACTTTGTAATGGATGGGCCTTGAAGGGAAGATGGGAAGGATTTTGCAAATTCGGATGGGCCACTTCTGGGAAGGGGAAAATAGTAGCAAAGCAAGAGGAACAATTTTAATTGGTAAAGACTAATTCATGAGGGTTTTAGTGAATGTCAAAAGAAATAACGTAGATGAAACTGCTTTGAGACGTATGTAATGTAAAGGATTTAGAGATCTCTATGATGTTATAAATCATACATTGATAATGGTGAACGGCCATTTCCTCAACAGTCACTTCAGGGAATGTCTGCATTTTTTGTCCCCCAACATTCCCAAAGTCACCAACCACAGTTGCAGATCTGAAGTCCTACCTGATTGAAGGTCAGAGATACAAGCATTCCGTTTCCCTTTTGAGGCTCTTTTGAGATTAAGCTGACTGATGGTTCTGTTTTAAATAATGTTTCCATGAAGTGTCCCAATTGACAGAGGACTTTCATGAACATTGTTTAATTTTCACAAAACTTTGTGACATAGGAGGTGCCGTTAGCCCTATTTTAAAGGTGGGGTTAAATGACTAGCACAGAATCATATAGCTAATAAGGAGCACAGTCATAGTTTGATCTCAGATCCACTGGGGGCAAATTACTCTCAATTTATGGGCCTTGGGATTATGCAAAGGTTGGTATGTTGAGGATAGTGAGATTTTGGAATATTTTGGTTTACAGAAAATCCTCAGCAAGACGCAACCTCAGGCCAGGGTGGTGCTGGATATATGGGATGAGAGGAAAATGTGCATAAAAAAAAGAAGCAACCCTCACTGGATTCAGTATGTCACTTGTAAAGTAAGGATAACTGGACCCCTTCACGGTGGTGGTGTGAGAACGAAATGGAGTCACTGACGGAAAGTGCCCAGCATTCCGTCTGGCGTATGGAAGACACTCAACATATCTGAGATTTCGTCCTCCTTTACCTAATACCTCTCAAGGTTGATGTGAAAAATAAAGCAATCTATGTGAAAAGGACATGGAAAAACAAAACTCCTTAAGAAAAAGGAGAGTTCTGATTCAGGCTATAAGTGACCAGAGGCTGGGGGCAACCTGCTGGGATCTGTTCCTTGAGGAAGGAGACAGCGATGCTAATAATGCTGGTGCTCCCCCCCCTCCCCCAACACACCCTGGAGATGGGAAAGGACGTCTGAAATTGTTGCTTTGTCCAGTTCTTCATTTTCCTGACAGTTGATAAATGTTTTTTCCTTCCTAAGCTGTACTGCTAGGCAAATCCTGCAGGGAGTGCAGTTAATGACATCAATTGCTCCTATTTACTGAGCACTTACCTTGGGTTAAGCATTGCCCTGGGTGCTTTACCTGCAGTATCTCTAAGCCTTATCACAAGTCAAAGAAATAGTTTTATTCTCATTTTACTGACGAGGAAACTGAGCCCCAAATATATTCAATAACTAGTAGCGGAGGTAGGACTTAAACCCTTGATCTTAAGTTAGGACCTAACCACAACACTACACTTCTTCAATCTATTTGCTTCAAAAAGAACTTGTATTGTTCCTTTGCCTATTGTTCCTGCCTCCCCTCCCCTTCTGCTTTCCTTGCAGACAGCAGTAGAGTGTAGCGGTTGCACACTCCATCTCTGGTGTCAGACTGCCTGGGTTCAAATCCCAGTTTGAAACCATCCTAGGTGTTGGAACCTCAGTTTCCTCTATAGTACGATGCAGATGATGATGATAGTCATCACCTCATAGGATTGCTGTGAGGTTTGAATGAAGTAATACACAGAATGTACTTAAAACTGTGCCTGGCACATATTAAGTGGTCATTGTTCTTAATATTATTTACGTCCTGCCTGGCCCCAGTCATATTTCCTCCCCAGGTTTCCTCAAGCTCTGCTCATTTTTTCATAAGGGAGAAATGAAGTAGATGAATACACTGGCCGAGTCATCCCAAAGCAATCAATTCCAATCCTATTACTCTTTCTGTGTGATATTGGGCCAGTCTTGTTCTCTCTGGGCTTTAGAAGGCCTGTCACCTCTGTATGGGCAAGCAGGTGGTGAGGGAGTAGAGGTCTGAGAAAAACAGGAAATTGCTCATTTGTATAACTACATTTATTGAGCATCCTAAGTGCCAGAAATTGTCTAAATGCCTTGCATTTAAATCACATCACACCACCACAGGGTAGGTGTTATTCTTACAGTATTCCAATTTTTAAGAGATGGCAAAACTGAGGGCTAGAGAGGTTAAGTAATTTGCTCAAGGTCATACAGATTGTATGTGGTGAGGCGGAAATTCAGACCTGGAGAGTGGCACCAGAGACAATGTCGTTGGTAACCACACTGCTCCAAAAAGTGTTCGGGCTTTGTACAAAAGAGAAAGTATTATAACACCACCCAATCCTCTTCTGGACAAGGAAAATCCAGGTTAAAAGAGCAGCCTTTTTTCCCCCCTAGGTGATTTGTAGCTAGAATTTGAGAAAAGTCTGTAAAAAGCCAGACTACCTTTTGATCTCCCCACTCCAGCTCTAGGCCCCAGAGAGGAAAGGGAATATTTTTGGCTGGAATGAGCCCCCATCTTACCTGTCTGGTCAGTCTCCTGCAGTGACACTGAGCCGCAAATCTCCTTTGTCTTTGCTATCATTCTCCCGTGGGCCTACCTGTAATGGGGGTGGGTAATGGACCATTTATTCTGGCTGTAACTTGCCATTAGTCAACAGGTGATGACATCTTTGTGAAATGATCGGTTAGTTCTCTGAGAGGAATGGGACACCATGGAATGTGGCTCTAACCCTGACAACCT